ATCAGGCATTAAGTAATGCAGCCATAACCGTAATTACCCCTTCAGGCCGGCAGGTGTCACCCTGTCATTACATTTGTATAAAAGATATACACACTGGGTGTTGTTGATCTGTGTCATGTCGGTACGAGGTGGAGCGTTGGTGTTAACATCAGAGGATTTGGCATGGCGCCTGCCGGTTAGGGGAGGCCATCATCCAGCAGTGGATTGACCATGGATGATGATGGTTTCAGTTCGAGATTGATTTATAATGAATACTGTGAAAGTGATAGGTGGAAGCTCTATATATCTTACAGTGAGCAGATCAGACTATTTAGACTGAAGGAATCCGATGAGCTATAAAGCAGTTCCCCATTGATTCAAGCGAGGCCGGCTGACGACTGACGAGAGAGCCCACCGCTGCATGCCGAAACGGGTCCCAGAGTCGACTGGTGCTGAATCACCGGCGGCAGTGGCAACTCTCGCGCCGCACGGCAAAAAGGGGCCTGGGTTCGATTCCCAAACTCGTGGCGCCTTTCTGTTTGGAGTCCGTACCTGTCAACCGCTTATTACAGACCAATTCGGACCTTATTTGGTCACCCCCCGGTGCCGTTATAAATCTCAACGTTCATCCTACAAAGTCCCATCACAAGGGAGAAACACAAACAAACACCCGTATTGAAACGGCTGGGTACCCAGCTGTACCCAGCCGTTTCAATACGGACAATTTCCCTGTACAAGAATACGGGGTAAACCGTATTGATTGATAGGCGTGAGTAGCTATAAGGTACAATACGCTTACAAAAACATATAAGCAGGCGACATGCAGTATGTCCCTCATCCGGCTGTCCCTCCACATACAAAAACATAAACCACGGCAGTATTTTGTTACACTGCCCATCAGCCAAAATCGAGGCATTCTGGGAGTGCACAATTTCAACAGCATTGCTTCCAATGCAAGCAAAAAAACTGTGGACCGTCTTCGACATTCACACTAATGGATTGCTTGCTGATTCGATTATAGCTGTATCGTTACCACCAATCACCCCCAAGTGATGGGCCCCATAACAAACACGCGCCCCTTGGCCGCTCTCCCTCCATCCTCCCTGGCGCCGCGGCTGCGTTACCGAGCCGAACCGGTCCGGGCACGTTCCCTCTCACACCCCGCGTCGTTCAAGCACCTACCCACCCACCCCACAAAGACAAAGATCCCCCCTGTAGCCTCCCAACAGGCTGTTGAGGTCAAGTGCTGTGAGCGAGCGCACAGACGAAAGGTCAATTTGTTGTGTACAGACACATGCCAGAGCCACCTTGGTCCGGTGGTGACGTTCAAACACCGCACCAGGTTCTCATTTAAGGCTGAGTCAACCTAGGGGAAGCTCAGTGTGGGATTTGAAGGCGAGTTGCCGTGTTCGGAGTGAAAGTAAGAGGCAGCTTCTCACAATGCTGTACACGGAGCACGAAAAGTAATCCGATGTTTTCCCCCCCACGTGATTGTAAGGGTTTTTTTTAAAATATTCTCTTAAATTGTAAGAATACTCTGGCCAAAGAATGGCATTATTAGGAGCACGCATTGGAAAGTTGGGATCTATTTTAAATTAACCGTGTCAGTCTTCTGTATTCGTTACTCCCACCTCGTGTCTATCAATTTAATGTCTTTATTCATAAATTACACGGAAAATCCTGTTTAGCCAGTTGTCCAGCTACTTTAGGTGGCAAAATTCGGAAAATAGTCGGTGGTTTGCCTGCTTTAACAAATTCTGCGGGGAAAACATTTACCCCGATGGCCGATTCGCTGAAAATATTTTTTTATCGTGGCAAAATTGACACGTGTTTTATTTATTTTTTAAACTGAATATTGCCCGCCCTGGCACGGTACGGACACTTAAAAGCATGGTGAAATGCATGCTGGGATTTTCACTGAGAGACAGAAAGAGGAGCACACAGAGCAGAGAACAAATGCAAGTTCACGCACCTCATTTTGGATCATACAGACAAGCGAAGAGGGCTTGTATATAGGATCCGTCTCTCCGATGGGCGACAGCAGACAGACGAGACTGGTGATGGAATGGCAGCGAAATGAGAGAACACAGCGGAGATGGAGCAATGAGATCATCTCGTGTGATGGCGATGAAGTGAGGATGCCTTCATCCGGCAGTAGATGGAACATGACTTGCATCTATTGTTTGCTCAAAAGTCATGAACCGTTCGTGCGGAAGCCCCAATCATACGCAGCGTGGCTGTATGTCCAAACAGAAGGCTCTACAGGCAGACGAAGACATTTCAACACTTGCAAGGGTCCACACTCTTTGGTTCTATTCGGTAAAGTCACGTAGGTAAAAATAAAATAACAAAAAATCACGACGTTTCGGCCACAACACAAGTGGCCTTCATCAGGTGAAGGGACTGGACTGTCCAGAGGACAGCGTTGGCGTGAAGACAGCAAGCCCAGGTCGCGTCCTTTAACAGAACCAAAGAGTATGGATCCTTGCAGTCACGAAAGCTTCAAATCTAGACTTGCAAGGGTGACCTCATGGCTTTATGCTTGACACAGGATTATACATACACCAGACATGACGAACGAAGGGAAGAATTAAATCCGCAGAGGGTTTAAAGGCGGCCTCTATTTAGCCTTGTGAGGGAACCCTTCGCTATTTCCCACAGGTCGCGTGAACCCTAATTACCCGAGGACACAAGCGCACTGAGAATTACCCATGCAAGGGGGGCCGTCCATAAATGACGTCACGCGATTTTGGACGATTTTTGACCCCCCCCCCCCATCGTCACACGGCGTCACAAAAAGTCAGACCCCCCCCCCCCCCTCAAATATGACGTTCCATTTAGTTCCATTTATTAGGTATAGCCCTGTGAGCCATTCGGCTATTGAATCGGGTGCAACCGCAACAAACAAAAAACTAAAACATGAACAAGAAAAACATATTAAAGTAACTTTGTGCATGTGCAAACAGAATATCCAGGAAAAAATTGCTAAATATTCCTGAAAAAGCACCGTACACCAACGCTGTGTGCAAAAATCTCAGTGGGATGCAAGTCAAACAACAACAACCACAAGACAACTAAGATTAAGGCCATCAGTCTAACTCCGTACTACAATAAACAAAAACATGGCCAAACCAAAAAACGTTTTCGAAATCACCAAAATAAAGCCTTAACAATAAACTACATTAATAACATGTAACACCAAACCCCAGAGCCATAGCTGGCTGCATGAGTCACTCCACAACAACAGGAGCATCAGTCGGAGTATCACATTTTTCACAAAGCTCTGCCCCCCCCCCCCCCAAAAAAAAACATGCTTCAAATCGCTTTAAACTATTGTCACTGTGGTGCGTATTTATGTTGTAGGAGAAAACATTAAAAAGTCTATTTAATTAAGTAGAACGTGTCTATATTTATTTAAAGTTGCGCATTTTGATGTGACGTCACATTTCTCACCCCCCCCCCACCCTCGTCACACATCGTCACAAATGTCTGACCCCCTCCCCCCCCCTCCAGGTGTATGACGTCATTTATGGACGGCCCCAAGTACACAAATAGAAAGGGAGGATTCGGAAAGAGGCAGATATTTTTTTTAAACCCCACCCCAAAATAAAACAAAATTCAAGACGTTGGCGATTCAAGAGCACGTGTTCCTGTGGCGGTATGGGCGGGCGATAGGGCAGAGCGCCTCGAGAAAAGACGACAGCTGCGATGGAGGTCGGCTGGCGCGCAAGGAGCGTTGAGAAAGCGCCGTGTATCCCCGAGTGCCAAGAGAGAAGCCACCGCACGTACGAGACGGTGTGCCCGGCGGGCCGCATGGCATGGGTTCACGAACCCGCACGGCATGGGTTCACGAACCCGCCCGGCGGCCCGCACAGCATGGGTTCACGAACCCGCACGGCATGGGTTCACGAACCCGCCCGGCGGGCCGCCAAATCTCCTCGCCACCTCAGGGCCCGGGGTAGGTTTGGGAGTTTTACAAATCCCGAGGTGCTCCACCAGCCCCATGCTGAACAGGGTGGGGGTGGGTGGGGAGGCTCCACCCAAACACGCAGCCACATTGTTGGAAGCTCAGCAAGCAGTCGCCGCTCTCTCATTGTTGTCGAGGCGGTGAAGGAGCTCGGGGGGGGGGGGGGTACTGATGGAAACTTTGCATCCCCCCCCCCCCCCCCACGTGTCGCTGCGGTTCTGCTACCGTGCCGCGCGGGTTTATAGGGCGGCTACACCAATGAGACGCTGCACAGCAACGGCACGCGGCTGGCTTATGTCACAAAATGCCTTCGGTCATAGGTCTTGAGCCTGGACACGAACAGGGCGGCACAGTGGACGGTGCGAAAGGCGAAGGGAAGGGAGGTTTCAGAACGTGGGTAGCGCCAGAAGTGAACCGGCAACCTCCCGTTAATTTGGAGAGTTGCGTGTTGGTGGTGGGGTTGTTGAGTGAGATGAAGAGGGGAGGGGTGGGCAGGGGCGAGTCATCCATGGAGGATCTTGATGGGTTTTTTTTGGGTTCGACCACGTAAAAGTAAATCTGACGTTAACCCACCACCACCATCACACACAGCAAATTTAGCAAGGTTCGTCACGTACACAAAACGTGCCAATTAGTTACTAGTTCACACACCGGTGTGTTGTAAACCCACAACATTTACAATTAAAGTACATTTCTCTGGTGATTACGACCAGCTTCATCAGGCAATGTCAGAATTGTCAGACAATTAGTATTAACTAATTGTCACGTTTTAGTTACGTGACAAACTTCACTGTGTCGGTGGTGGTGGGTAAACGATCGCATTTACATTTACGCGATCTAACCCAAAAAGAAAACCTTTTCATGGATATTTGGTTGCAAAAGCCTACGTGGTTAAACCGATCTTGAGGATGGCGAATGTCGTCTCGAAATTGGTTGGCGAGCCCTGGCAGCGTGGGGCAACGCCGGATTGTCCCGGAGCACAACCGCCATGGCCCGGCTTCGACAGAATTCCATGAAATTCACACACACGCGCGCTGTTCGTCAGCGGCCCGCATTGTGTACGTAGATCTTTATTGAACATTTAAGCAGAACTGGGCGTAAAAATGACTGAGCAAATATTTTTTTTAAACAGTGTACAAAAGCATTGTTTAAAAAAAAAAACAGAGGAGCACGCGTGTACACGTGTGGCCCCCCTTATCGCAATGCCTTACTCAGTATTTCCATATTTACAAACACGTACTTTGTAGTTATATATAAAATAAAGTCATACAAAATGGCGCGGCAGGAGAAAGAAGTACAGTACAGTGTAAATTTGAGGCGTAAAATGTTTCCAGCGCTAACACGCGAGCCTATAATTCTACATCGGCAAAAGCTCAGACGTTGCACAAAAACGCCATTATTGTTATTTTTTTAATGGCAATGCAAAAAAAAACGACGGCGTGAAATCGGCCCCACGTTGCGCGTCGCCACGGAAGCGGATCTCCAGCGGTAACTCCTCATCACCAAGGCCCCCCCCCCCCCCGCCAAACCTTGCTCTGCTATGGCAGAGCAAGGTTTGGCGGGGGGGGGCAGGGGCCTTGTTTGCTCAAAAGCCAGTATCCACCAGCGCAAGAATCGGGCCGAATGAATGAAAAAATAAGTAGAAACCCAAGCACCTGTTAACGCAGCTACGGAAAAGCGCAACCAGATCCCTCCCCCCCACCCCGACCCCTGCTCCGGGGTCAAGGGACCCCCCCCCCCCCACTCCGCCACGAACAAAGCAGCACCCCGCGGCTCCAACTGAAGTCGAGCCCGGCCGGGAGATTTAGGCAGCGTCCTGCAGTTCCTGCTGCTCCTGCGGGAGTGTGGAAAGAGGGAGAGAGTTGGTGTTGGTCAGGCAGTGGTGCGCGGGGAGGGGCAAGGGGTGCGCGAGGGGAAGAGCAATCGATTGAATATGAATTAACTACAGTGATTAGCAAAAGTTTTTGTCACGCAAGCGCTGCCAATCTGAGTGCTGCTTTTCTGGGTCTGGCCGCGTGTTGGCCATTATTTTTTGTTTTCTCTCTCGGGCTTTCGCCACGCAACGACTGCGGGAATATTCACCTCGAGATGCTCGCGCAGGAAGAGCGTGCCGATGATGATGATGATGGTGGTGATGGTGGTGGTGATGTTGGTGAAGGTCGATGGCGAGGGCAGTGGAGATGGTGACATCGGCAGTGGCTGCTGGTGATGATGGTGGAGTTGGTGGGTGGTGGTAACAACGTAAGATGATTATGGTCGTGTTGTTGTCAGTAGTAGTGGTGGTGGTGTTGTTGACAATGGTATGTGGGTGACCTCTGCTCTCCCCTGACCTTGTGAGCACGGTTGTACTTCTTGGTTCCTTGCTGCTTCTTCCACCAAAACTGGGTTACGAGACAGAGGGGTGAGGACACACAGGGTCAGGTCAACCATCGTCGCGTGTCTCTCAGACCAACTGACCATAGGTCCCCGGCTGGGGGTCGAGTCTTTATGAGCAAGGTCCAAGTTGGCATCGTTGAGACCTGGGTTTTAATCTGTTTTTCAGCAACCTGTGATTTTATTTAAGTTTGCTCGTCCAGGAAAGCCTCACTCGAGTCTCAAAACTCCTTACAAGGAGGGTCCTGTCGGGTATTCGCAGTATGGGGGGGCAATGCCGCTACGTGTTACATCCCAATCAAATCATTTGCAGGGAAAGTTTAAGCATTGTGATGTTTGTTTGGCCAATAGCAGTTGAAATTGTGGATTTTTTAAGCTATGGGAGGAAACAAAAATCTTTCCGGCAGGAGGGGGTCAAAGGTCGGGCCACAGGTCGGGTCAAAGGTAAGATCAAAGGTCGGGTCAAAGGTCGGGTCAAAGGTCGGATCTCAGCAGCTTGGATGTCACTCACGAAGATGACGGCAGCGGTGACGGCGGCGAGCACGGCGATGACGATGATGGCGATGATGCCGGGCGCCATGCGAGAGGGGCTCATGCGTGGGGGCTCATCGTCGTAGAACCACACAATGGGCTTGCGCGCATCTGGGTCCACCTCTATGGTTTGCGGCGGAGTCTCGGACGTCTGCAGCTTGCCCGCCTTCAGCTGCAGCACGCAAGCGCACACACACAGGCACACACACACACAAACACACGCGGACACACCATCAGCACTACGTGTTAACGGGCGGCGGTGCAGGTGGAGGTAGTGTGTGGGTTTGTAGCAGGGGAGGTGGCAGTGGGACTGGTTGCTGGTCGTGCTGGTGCCGCGGGGGTTTGAGTCGTACTTGTTTATCCGCGAGGTAGGCGACTGTCGCAATGTCAGCCACGTTCCCAGACACGTTCTGCGTCAGCGTCACGATCATGTTCCGCGTGTCCAGCAGCTGCGGCACGACGAGGGGAGGGGGGAGACAGGGCAGCAGTGGAGAGTTCAAAGCCCATTCATTATTTTATACCTACGTGACATTATCGAAAGAACCAAAGAGTATGGCCAAATATCTTAATCGTATAGCAAAATAAAAACAAAAAATAATCTGCACTGGGGGCGGGGGTCCTGGATAGGTAAATGATTATTGGCCAGCGTGTGTGTCCATATGTTTGTGTATCCGTATGCATAGAGCAGTGGTGCAGTGGTCAGCACACTGCGCTACGAGCCCCATGACCAGAATTCAATTCCAACTCACGACTAGTAACAGTGGCGAATATTTGAACCGGTGCTGGACCTCCCCTAGGGTTGCCTCAGCCTTGAATGAGTACCTGGCGCCGTGTAAACAGCGACACTGTGCGACAAAAGCAGCCAGGCGTGGTGTTGGCCTCCCGCTCCTTTGTGTGCCGTGCCGGCCTTTATCCAACACTTGCCCCAACACCCTGTTATTGCCTACATGGGGGCCTTTATCCAACACTTGCCCCAACACCCTGTTATTGCCTACATGGGGGCCTTTATCCAACACTTGCCCCAACACCCTGTTATTGCCTACATGGGGGCCTTAATCCAACACTTGCCCCAACACCCTGTTATTGCCTACATGGGCACCTTTATCCAACACTTGCCCCAACACCCTGTTATTGCCTACATGGGGGATTTTTGTCTTTCTGTACAATCAACTTTGTACCTGTGGGACCCTGCAGCAAGGGGAGTAAGGTCAAGGATGTAATGCATATGGCACGGGGAAGGAAAGAGAAGAGATAACATGGGAAATGAAATGAAAAGGACGAAAAAGGAAGAGGAAAGATGAGTTAAAGACTACAGACAAAGGCCTCGACGCTGCACAGAGCAGCGTCCATTTTCACAGAGGGCGGGGAGAGGGGAGGGGTTTAGAATGAGGGTGGCCATACCGAAGTCACGTGATTTGTGAGGGAGCCTGAGCTCATGTGTAAATAGATTTAAGTGCACGTACAGGCGTGTGTGCGCTGGTGTGGGGTGTGTGTTGCCGTGACTTACTTGGACATTTTTGAACTGATCCGGAATAACGAAGTAGTTCTTTCCGAGAATGTCCTTTACTTTCCTACGAGGGAAAGGACAGCGATAACTTGGATTTTGTTTGAACATAAAACAACTATACACATGTCAGCGAGTTATCAAATACAAGACCTCGACACTCACGGTCAATTCCTAGAGTTTGGCTGGAAATGTTAATTATCCTAACAATATTCGTGAATTTGGTATTTGTGCCCTTATAGCGCAAGGCTTTTACGATCCCGCTATGTTTCGCAGACGGTGTGCTTCACAGTAGGGGGACGACGTTGCGACGTGTAAAAAGTTTTGCGGGTGTAATCCTCCGTAAAAATTTGTGCAAATTTGACCCACGATGGTCGGCTCATTTCGAATGACGTCAGGGGATGTTAACGCCTGCTGTGAAGACGATGCCGTACATCTTCATGGTCAGCACAACCGTAGTGATAACCAGGGAGCACATGGCCCGCCGAATATGAACCGCGAACAATTCGACAAACGCACTACGACTGGGTCATGTGGCCACCCAGTACGACTACTTCTACCAGATTTCAATCGCCCTTTCTAACCCAGCCGTGGGGGAGATATGTTAACTACCTCACCTGGTATACAGGAGGCCGTGCGTTTAATCGTGACCCTGACGCATGTAAATTTTGAGTTTGCATGTTCTCTCCGAGATCACGTGGATTTTTCTCCGGAACCTCCTGTTTTTCCATCTGCATTTAGAGATTGGGCTGTTCTAAATTTCCACGTGATAAGCCCACTTCCATGAGCTATCAATACATGTAGGCCAGGAACTTTTCTGAAGAAAAAAAAAGCAATATAAGCTGTGGGCTTTACCTCGTAAAAATGAAAAAACATTGTTTAGTTTTAGTGTGCCTCTCCCCTGTGCTCGTGTTCGCAAATAGACTTCCGGCGACACAGCCGCCCCCCCCCCTCCCCCACCCTGAGTGGCCGGCTCCTACTCGATACATCGAGCGGCCTCCCAACAGTTCCTTACACTCCAGGCGCTAGGGATCACGCGGCCTCGCGGCCACGAGGCCTGCCACTTCGAAAACAGCCCGCAAAAGCGATGTCCATTGGTCCCTGCAAGCATACTAGCCGCACTAATCGGGTACCAAAGACTTCTTTAGACTTCTCAGTATGCTGGTAAACATCAGCATGCTTAAATGAGATCTGGTCCTCGTGAGTTTTGCTAGGTTATCATTGGTCAACGCTGAGCTGCGTGTTAATGCGTGATTAGACAAAGGTATCTGGAAGCACAAAGTTCCCACCCCCGCTGTATGCGATGAGAACAAAACATCCTAACAGAGAGCGAGAGTTCCTCCTCCTCCCAATCTTCCTCATCTCCCTCGACTACTTCTCCCTGCCCCTCAATTCACCTCTTCCTCCCCCTCCTCTTCCACTTAGCTTCCTCCCCTCCCTCTTCCTTCCTCTCCATCCCCCTGCCCATCCTCTCCCTCCTTCCTTTTCTGGACATCTGTGGAAAAGAGCTTCATAGCTCATCAGATTCCTCCAATATAAATAAATATTCTGATTCTCTCTAAATCCGTCCTTCCCTCTTTTTCTCTCCCTCCACCTCTCCATCCCTCCCCTCCTCCTCCTCCCCCTTCTCCTCCTTCCCTTCCCCTCCCCATGAGATCCCCAATCTTACTGCACATTCTGAATCTTCTCATCCTCGGAGGGTTTGTGATCCATTGGCAAGAAGAAGTCCAGCACGATTTGGCTATGAACAAAAAAACAAGGAGATTAATGTTACAACACAAACAACACAACCACCACGGTGGCATGGGTACACATGTAAGAATCCATGTTTTTCTTTTCTTTTGGGGGCTGTTTGACCATACTTCACCACGCTGGTCAGAGCGGTTTGCTGAAGAGAGGATCTAGGAACAATTCTGATAGCATGGCAAGTCGGGCTGAACTAAGATCGCTACGGTTCATAGCGCAGCGCACGCTAACCACTGCGCCGACACTCCCTGCGCAGAAAATCTACACGCAGACGGTGATGTAATTCGTGCGCGTCGCTTCGAGGTGTCGTACTAGAATCTGGAGGACAGGTCTTGGCTTGAGGGCCGCATTCATTAGCGGCATCGAGTTGTGCGTGCCTACAGTGCACGCAACTGGGACCGGCTGTGTGCGAGGGACCGATTAAAGGTAGCGGTGGGAGGAAAGGCGGCACGCTGTGGCCATACAACGCTGCGCTATCAACCTGTCGACACGAGTTTGATTCCCAGCCACGGCCAACATCCGTGGCGAGCTGTATCAGAACCAGTCCTACCCCCCTCCCCCCTCACTAACCCGCACTGACTAGAGTGGTGAAGTATGGTAACAATAAAAAAAATGCCCATAACCAACATTGGTGTGGAAAGGCCCACATCAATTGGTGGACTGAAAATGGTCTGGAATTTACTTTCGTTTGTTTCGAAGAGGAAACTGGTTGATGTCACCACAGCACAACTTTGTTCAGTAATCTTCAGCGTAACGAATGATGGAGATGGAACCTGGCGACGTGGGCTAACAATTACCCCTGGATTTATCCAATTAAATAAATTGCGGGTAATACACTTCCTCACTCACAAGCACCGATTATGATCATCCAAACTGCTCCACGATTACCACCATCGCGAGGGACCATACCACACGACCAACGCTCCCAAGACCACCACCACCATCACAACGGCAACAATTACATCGCTTGCTTTCACATGCGGTTCTGCGGCCGTCTGGAACGCTCTTCCTTCCGATATTTGGAAGCCACTTTGAGCTATACACTTTTAAATAATCTAGATTGAAATTTCGCCGGTAATTATAACGAGCTTTCTTAAGCCGACAACCAGATTTGTGGAGAAGTCCAGCTGTTTCATTCCTTATGTAGAGGTGTATAAGGAACGAAACAGGTGGACTTGTAACATCAGGTGAAACGTCGTACTCAGATTGTAAATGTCGTGGCTTGGCTCTCCAACACACTGTACTAGTGACGAATTGGCCACGTTCTGTTTACGTTACAACCCTTACTTATTGGCTGTGTTGGGTGGTGGCGGGTTTTAACGACATATTTAAGCGATCTAACCCAAAAAAACTCTACTATGGATGATATTGGTCCTGAAAGACTACGTGTTAAACTCATTGTGTTTGGTTTGTTGTTGGCTACGTACGGTGCGAAATAAGTTCAACACACATACAAACAACCAGGCCCTGACTGGCCCATAGGGCAGCAGTCCGGGAAAATGCCCAGTGTGCCGGTACATTCCGAGGGCTGGTGGGCCGGTCCGTGTGAGCAAATTGCAAATGTGACCATTAACTCAAATATTTTATTACATCTAACGTGTACGCTTCATTACTCATTTAAGCTCTCAGTTGATATTAAATCCCCATATATTCTGCAGCCCCATAGATTCTTCTTCACCGCCCCCCCCACCACCCCGAGTACTCACGAGCACAGCACGAGCTTGGGGCAGTCCACGCCGCTCTTGCTCTTGTCGGTGTTGCGTACCCCGGCGCTGTTGACGCACCAGCACTCCCCCGTGCCGTTGTCGCACTGCTTCGCCCTGAACTGCTGCTGCGCGTCGCAGTCCGGGTCGTAGAGCTCGTCCGTGTCCTGGCGGCCGCCGTCGGGCGCCCCGCCGCTGCGGGAGCCCTTCTTCTTCTTCACCATCTCCAGGTGCATGAGGCGGCACTTGAGCGTCACTGGGGGGCGGCGGGGGGGGGGGGGGGAAGAGACAAGCCGAGGGGGAAGTCTTCATCGGTTGTCGGCGGCATAGGCAGCCAGGGTCAATCCGCTGCTGGATGACGGCCTCGCCAAACCGCCGCCGCTACCGCCACCTCTCGCGATCTCGCGGCGCGATCATGAGCCCGAGCACACCGACACGCACGCGCAGCAACGATATCGCCGTGCTCCATCTCCGCTGTGGACGCCGTCTCGGACGCGTTCCATTACTTTGGCCCTCACGTCCGTCGTTATGCTTGACCGACGGCCATCGAGATCGAGAACACTAAAGGGTGATTTTAACTATTAATATTGGTTTATTTACGAGGTAAGGCCCACTCGGCTATGTAGCTCTTTTTCAGGAGCAACCTGGCCACAAATTATGACCTAATGAAGTGGCTTATCATGTGGAAATTTATAGCAACCAAATACTCTAAACGCACGTTTTTTTTACGTGGAGGTTAAAAGCCGGAGGACCCGGAAAGAGACAAACTCAAAATATACAGCAGCAGGCGTCAGGGTTGGGATCGAACCCACGACCTCCTGCATACCAGGCGAGGTAGTTAACGCCGTGATTTGGTTGTCGGCAACTTAGACGATGATGACAATGGGGAGCTTCATCTCGTGACCATGGTGAAAGTGTCGCGGTGACGGTGACGGTGACGGTGACGACGACGACAACCCCGATGACGAAGGTGGAGATGGCGACGATGACACCTGGGACCCTCGATTCCTGGGCGACGACGATGATGACGTGACGACGACCAAGAGAGACGGCTCGTGACGACGATGTCGCGCGTCACCTCGAGACATTAAGAGGGGACGGAATCCTCCTCTCATGACGATGGCAGAAATGATGCCGACGTTTTGCGAGCCCTCGTGATCCAAAGCTGCTGTGTGACCCCCCCCCCCCGCCACCTCCCCCCCCCCACCCCATTCCGGGTGATTTGGTCAGAAGCAGTATCAGAATCTTTATTTAAACTGGAGGAATCCGATGAGCTCTGAAGCTATTTTTTCACAGATGTCCAGCGGTGCTTATGTGGAGGTGTCACATCGAAGGCAATCGGAGTTCTCGGAAACAGGGCTCATTTGCTTACAGAATACATCCACGGCTTGGCGCGTGACTACAAGGACACGCTCGTCACATCTACCCTCCTTCATCTTTTGCCCAAGGGGTCTAAGTGTCCCTACCCCCACCTGACCGCTCCCTCCACCTGACCCCTCCCTCCACCTCACCCCTCCCCTCACCTGACCCCTCCCCTCACCTGACCCCTCCCCTCACCTGACCCCTCCCCCCACCTGACCCCACCCCCCACGCCGCCGAGTCTCACGTTTGTCGCACTTCTCCTCCTTCTTCTCCAGGTCGAAGAATTTGGGCTTGCAGGTGTTGCAGTCCATCTCGCAGTAGGTGAACTCGTTATACGGGCACCGCATGCCGACGCAGGTGTCGCTCTGACACGTGCTGGGCGCCGGGCACGCTGAGAGCAAAGACGCGGCACGTGCATGGGTGGGCAGCAGAGGGGGGGGGGGCATTATCGTGAGCATCATCAATCTATGGACAGCATCATCATAATTATCATCCTGCATGTTGAGCGTCTTTCGCATCGTACGTAGCCAACCGTGCACAATCATCAGTGTACTCCAAATTACCCGCGGCTTCTATCATCGTCATCTTAATCCATGACGAATCTACACAGCAGCCTCTCGTCGTAGTTGACAAATGCGAATTTATAATTAAATATGCAAGGTTACCGCAAACACCGCGAATGCCATTCCAAGTAAACGTCCAACGTTGCTCTAACTTTCCATGTACAGTGGGACCGCCATCGCCACTTACTTCACACACCACGATAACTGTTACCACCATCGCCATCATCAACGACAATCCCTCATCACGACAACCACCATCACCGACCATTCCCAGCATTATTGTCGTCATCACAACCACCATTATCATCATCACCGACCAATCCCTCCTCCTCCATCATCATCATCACAACTACAATCGTCATAGTCACGAGCACTACAACCGCCATCTTCAACCATCAACCACATTTTAAAAAATCTCCACCATCATCCCCTATCATCATCACAACCACCTGCACCACCATATCCACTGTCATCAGCCCGCGGTCAGGGCAGACTCCGCACACTTGTACCACCCCCCAAAAATCTCCAAATCACTTTACCGCTCAAACGACGGGCGCCCTTTATCGCCCCCTCCTGTTGACAGCCCTAAGCCAGCGGAGGAAATTCCACATTGCTATGACGGGAGCTTGCATATCCATCGAACCAAACCCAAGCGGCTTTCCATAATGCGGTGGCGTACTCGGGCGTGGTGGCAATTATCAAGCAGGGTTGGTGGACTGTGAAACGAATCATCGTCGTGCGAGATAACTCAATCCACTGCATCCACGACGTGGCCCCAGCAGATGACAGTACAAGGAGTAGGTTTGCACCAAACTATTTGTACGAGTCTTGTTGTTGTGTAGGAGGTAAGCCCTCCAGTGTCGGGGGGGCTTTCTCTGATCACTCCGCGTTCATCTATATATATAAAAGGCAAAGTTGTGATTATGTGTGTCTGTTCAAAATGTTTAGCGTACTTCCCGACATGCAACAAACTTGAAATTTGCCACGTGGGTACTTGCCAGACTGTACACCATGCAAACATTATAAAAATAGACGTTTGTATAGATATTTTTTTGGGGGGGGGTCACAATAATGCATATATTTTGCATGGCAAGTGAGCTGTGACGTTACATCTGTCATGTGACCCGTGTGCGGAAGCGTAACGGAGTGTCTGCTGATCGCGGGTAAAGTGCCATAAAAATGTGTTGCAGGTCTAAGGCGTTCTTCGCGCAGCATTGATTTATTATTTCAGTCGCTTACTGCCGTACGCACCCTGAAAGTTGTGTGTGTGTCTGCTGCAAATGCGTCTATGTGTACCTATGGACGCGCGCGCGTGTGTGGGGGGGGGCGGTAGTGTAGTGGTTAGCGCGGCGACCCGAGTTCGATTCCCGCTCACGGCCACCACGATATATTTGACCCGGTCCTGGGCCTCCCCTAGGTCGACTCAGCCTCAAACGAGTAACTGGTGTGGTGTGTGAACATCGCCACTGGGGGGACAAAGGCGGCCGGGCGTGGTGAATCCAAGTCCCGGGTAGTAAAGCTAGTACTACATAGAAGAGGATCGCCCAAGGAATCCAACGGAGGATTGTCGCGAAATGGGCGACACCGCCGACAATATACCGTGCGGTATGATCCACAATAATCGTGTGGTATGATACACGATAACCGTGTGGTATGATCCACGATAACCGTGCGGTATGATCCACGATAATCGTGTGGTATGATCCACGATAATCGTGTGGTATGATCCACGATAATCGTGCGGTCTGATCCACGATAATCGTGCGGTCTGATCCACGATAATCGTGTGGTATGATCCACGATATATCGTACGAAATGATGCGCGATGAGCCACGATAGATAATATTCACGATAATCGCATGGCCCCCGAAGTGGGGATACATATATCATTATTATCGTAGCTCATTGAATAGCCTCACCATTCCCTCCCCCCGATAATGTTTTATCGTTGTTATGATGAAAGCTGTAAAGTTAATAGATACGCTCCATTACGCATTGTAAGATTATAAGGAGGATATTGACGACGTGGCCTCAATATCCACGTCATTATTAATTTATGTCATTGCGACTTGTATCAATCGAGAGCGTTTATATAATTATTCGTTCTAGATGATATAATCGTTATAGATTGTAACTATTATGAAACATGTTTTGTGTCAAGCTTGATTTAAGCCGAGGGGCTTTCAAATAATATATTATAACTATATTATAAATATATAAAAAATATATTTATAAATATTAGAAATAATATTTATAATATATTTCCTTACGCGAAGTGGAGAGGGGGGGCATGAGGCAAAGCAACAATTTTCAACAAAAATCCTGACATGCAATGACAATGTAATGACATTTCAGGATTGTAATGACATTTTAGGATTTCACCATCGCGATAATCGTCATCAAATCACAAACAAAATATTATCGGGCCAAAGTCGAGGTAATCGAATGTACAACAAAGACGGTGGTCACCGCATGGCACGGCGCTTTCAGACGCGCTTCTGCGGCCGTCTGGAACGTTCTTCCTTCCGACATTAGGAATTCGCTGGGAGCTATGCCACTTTTAAATCATCATCTAGATTGAAAACTCATTTCGTTAGACCTGCTTTCTGTGCATAGTTTGTTGTACTTCCTCGCCCCCGCCCCTCCGATTAGCACGGTTGGCTACGTACGGTGCCAAAGAAGTTGGACAACATACGTACCTACGTACCCCCCGTTAAAATCGAGTCTCAACGACTCCAGTTTTCCAGCGAGTCCACCACCACCACGAGGGTCGGCAATGGGCAAAGTCGACGTCTCGTTTTATCCGATTGTGGCGCCAATGTTGAGAGTTCCATATCTTTGTGCTTTTTTTTAAACCGCACGTTACGTGGGGGTTCTCTCTTGTAAAGTGTAAACACAGAACTGCTCCGTGGCGATGATGTAAACACCCAATTCGCGACGTAGACCAAAACGAACCGAGCAGAACTCATAGATTTATTTTATTTAACAAAAAAAAAACGAAGCGATTTTTATTTTTGTTGGTATCCCCCCCTCCCCTCTCCCAGCACCTCCAATTAGCGCGGTTGGCTACGTACGTTGCGCGAAAGATGTTCAACAAACGTGTAAACATACAGACGGATAAGCAACAGAGAGAGAGAGAGAGGGGTAGGAATTGCGTCGTTTTGAAAAGATCCGAAACCGCCATCACCACGCCCTGGCCAGAGAGAAAGGGCGCGAGAGGAGAGAGAGGGAGAGCTGCTCTCTCCCCAATCACTCTTCCCCTACTCACGAATGCCCCATTTTACTGCACCTGTCACTGCTCTTACACCGCCCTGGTCACACACAGCCTTACACGGCCCTCGTCTGATGAGCTTGACGTTATCAAATCTGCAGCAGCGAGCGAGATAAACCCAATCTCCCCTTAGCGAAAACGAATTGCTCCTTCATCTTTCTTTCAAATATGCCCCCTTCCTATTAATCCTCGGCGTCGGACTAATGTCATTACATTGATTGACCTTAAACACAAACGAAAAAAACACGTCCACATCATCTTACACGGCCCTCCCTTCCGATTGTAATGTCTTCATACTGCCTTTCTGCTGCCCTCTCCCATCGCTGTGCCCCCACCTCGTCCCCGCCACCGCGTCCAATGCCAAAACGCTGCCCCCCTCCTGCTGCTCTTCTTACTGCCCCGTCTGCTGCCCCTATTCGTCATTTAACCGTCCTACCTATTGCTCACTGCCCTCCCTGCTGTCCACGTGTACTGCTGCCGTCTCTCCCACATCGCTCTTCAGTTTATTTATTTCAGTTTATTTTGGTATAGCACTGTGAGCCATTCGGCTCTTGAAGCGAGTGCAACCACAACAAACAAAAAAACAAAAACACGAACAAGAAAAACAACTTAAAGTGACTATGAGTGACTATGTGTGACTGTGCAAACAGAAAATCCATGGAAAAAAACCAGCAAAAATATTCCTGAAAAAAGCACCGTACACCAACGCTGTGTGCAAAAAAATCCCAGTGGGATGCAAGTCAAACAACAACAACCACAAGAAAACTTAAGATTAAGGCCATCAGTCTAACTCCGTACTACAACAAAACAAACATGTCCAAACCAAAAAAAACTTTTCCAAATCACCAAAAAATAAAGCCATAATTGCAACGTAACAGTGATCACAAGGGACTGTGACCGAATTTTTACAATAAACTACATAAATAACACGTGACACCAAATCCTAGAGCCATAGCTGGCTGCATGAGTTACTCCACAACAATAGAATCAACGGTCTGCTCTCTCCGTCTTCGCTCGCACCGCCGCCCGCTCCTCTCTCAGCTGCCCAATCCCACCACGACTGCCCTCCGCTACTCCCCAACTTTCACCGTGGCCCGCTCCTCTCTCCGAAGCCCAATCCCACCACGACTGCCCTCCGCTACTCCCCAACTTTCACCGTGGCCCGCTCCTCTCTCCGAAGCCCAATCCCACCACGACTGCCCTCCACTACTGCCCAACCTTCACCGTGGCCAGATTTTCGCTAATCGGTGGCCCCCATCTCCTCTGCTGCCCTTTTCTCTCACCCACTGCTCCTCTCTGCTATCTGCACCGCCTCCCTTCCCTCTCCTCACCATCACCGCGCCGCCTGCCCTCTCGCGTTAGCGCTGCCCCCTTCACCATCACCACCTCCTCCTCTCACGCCGCTGCCCTTCTCTGACTCACGTGACTGGGCCGCGCTCACGCAGAACATCGCCACCACCGCGACCACGAACAGCAAAAGTCCTCGCGAAGTCGTCGTCGTCATCTTGTTCTTCGTCGTCGTCGTCACGATCGTCGTCAAATTCCCTCCTCGTCTTCGACTTGCTCGGCTTGTGTCGAATGACACCAAAATTTAGTTTGTTTTTTAATTTAAATATCACGGCTCAATAATTCCTCTTCTTGTTTTGTTAGTTCCGTTTGGGGGGGAATTCTCAACGCTCGTTACGAACGTTTAGGCGCGCGTTAATTTGTTGTAAAGTTGTCGGCAATGATCGGCGAAGTGCTCCTCGCTGGTGCTGGAGTCGCGCGTTGAATGAGCGGAGAGACAACGGGGCGGGGCGCACAAGTGAGGGCCCCTCCCCTACGTCCCCCCCCCCTCCTCTACGTCCCCCCCCCCTCCTCTACGTCCCCCCCCCCCCCTCTACGTCCCCCCCCCTCTACGTCCCCCCCTCTACGTCCCCCCCCCTCCTCTACGCCCCTCCTCCTCTACGCCCCCCTCCCCTACGCCCCCCCCTCCTCTACGCCCCCCCCCTCCCCTACGCCCCCCCCCTCCCCTACGCCCCCCCCTCCTCTACGCCCCCCCCTCCTCTACGCCCCCCCCTCCTCTACGCCCCCCCTCCTCTACGTCCCCCCCTCTACGTCCCCCCCTCTACGTCCCCCCCCTCCTCTACGTCCCCCCTCCCCTACGCCCCCCCTCCTCTACGTCCCCCCCCACCTCTACACCCCCTCCCACCTCTACACCCCCTCCCCTACATCCCCCCCCCCACCATCCCCTCCCCTACGCCGCCTCCCCCTTCCCCTCATCCCCCTCCCCCACCTTCTGTCCACTCCTCCCATGTAAGCCCCTCCCTTCTACCCACCCCACCCTTTACGTCGCACAGGTGGGACCCCCCCCCCTTCAGCTCCCTAATTCGGTGCACCCCCCCCCCTTCCTTACCGCCATCCACCCATCAGCCTTCGACTCCACAGGCGACAGCCCCTCCCCTCAAAACCCCCTCCATTCAATCCGCCCCCTCACGTAGCACAGGTGAGAGCCCCTCCCCCACCCCCCCCCCCCAAGCCGCCACAGGTGAGGCTGCACCACGTGATCACCTATTTACAGCCCCGCCCTGCAGCCCGAGGGGCTATGGAGGGGAGGAGAATGGCGGGGAATGGAGGGCAGGAGAGGGCATGGCTGGAGAGAGAAGGGCAGCAGAGGGCAGAGGAGGAGAGGAAGCATGGAGTGGGGAGGAGAGGAGAGGGTATGGCTGGAGAGAGAAGGGCAGCAGAGGGCAGAGGAGGAGAGGAAGCATGGAGTGGGAAGGAGAGGAGAGGGTATGGCTGGAGAGAGAAGGGCAGCAGAGGGCAGAGGAGGAGAGGAAGCATGGAGTGGGAAGTGGAGGAGAGGAGAGGGCATGGCTGGAGAGAGAAGGGCAGAGGAGGGCAGAGGAGGAGAGGAAGCATGGAGTGGGAAGTGGAGGAGAGGAGAGGGTATGGCTGGAGAGAGAAGGGCAGCAGAGGGCAGAGGAGGAGAGGAAGCATGGAGTGGGGAGGAGAGGAGAGGGTATGGCTGGAGAGAGAAAGGCAGCAGAGGGCAGAGGAGGAGAGGAAGCATGGAGTGGGGAGGGGAGGAGAGGGTATGGCTGGAGAGAGAAGGGCAGAGGAGGGCAGAGGAGGAGAGGAAGCATGGAGTGGGGAGGGCAGGAGAGGGTATGGCTGGAGAGAGAAGGGCAGCAGAGGGCAGAGGAGGAGAGGGTAAGGGCTGGGGCGAGGGGGGTACAAAGAGGGCAAGGAAACAGGGCAGGTGTCTAGAGAGGAGGTTAAGACGTGAAGTCGCGGTGATTGGGATCGTGTGAACCATGAATGATGGCTGTTTTTTACACACATTACACTCCACTCCACATTTCCATTCCGGGCAAATGTTCTGTGTATATCTGGTGACAGTCGATGGTTGTTGCCGTTGCGGATTCAAGGGCATTGCAGTAGGGGGCAACAGAGTAACCCCCCCTCCCCTCTTCGCCTAAGTTTTTTACAAAGGGGTAAAGCCAGACGCCGTGCCGACTCATAGCTCCACATGGACCCGCTACCACCCAAATGTCTCAAGTGGACACATAGAAACACCGTGCACATAGACACACCATGTACTGTGTACATGGATTCATCTTATGCATAGATGAGTAGCCCGCACCTAATCCATGGATACACCTTCATACCTGGCAACCCGTACGGGTTACCCGTATTATTGTACAGGGAAATTAAATTTCAGGTTCATACGGCGTACAGCCGTTTCAATAAGGGCAAGAAAATGTGTCTGTGTTTCTCCCTTGTGATGGGACTTTGTAGGACGAACGTTGAGATGTATAAGGGCACGGGGTGACTAATAAGGTCTGAATTGGTCTGTAATAAGATAAGGCACTGATAAGGGGTTGACAGGTTTGCACCTTATACATCGACACATGGCCCTCACCTGAGGCGTCACGGTGGCTAAGAGATGTTAACTACCTCGCCTGGTATGCAGGAGGTCGTGGAGTTCGATCCCGACCCTGACGCCTGCTGTATTTTTGGAGTTTGCGTCTCTCTATCTCCGTGGTCGCGCGGATTTTTTCCTGGGTCCTCTCATTCTCCCCTCCACATTTAGAATCAACATCACGCGTTTAGAGTATTTTTGGCTGCCGCTATAAAATGTCCACACGATAAGCCACTTTCGTTGAGCTATCATTTGTGGCCAGGTCGCTTCTGAAAAAGAGCCGTATAGCTCACTGGGGCCTTACCTGGTAAAATAAAAAATATATAGTTAATGACATCGTTCCAGCACACCTGTTGCCTAATGTGCGTTGATGCTGCTGCTGTATGATTATAATCATTGTGGATATAAATTTTAACGGTGATGATTAGAATCAGAAATTAGATTTATACTGGAGAAATCGGATGAGCTATGAAGCCCTATTTCAAAGACGTTCAGTCGGCCTCCAGACAACACCACGGTTGAGGTGGACTCGAGCCACTGCCGAGGCGAACATCAAACAACGGCACTCGTCCCCGGACTGTGCTCAGCGTGGCACCGCGCTCAGGAGAGAGTCGCTCCAGCCAGGGGTAAGCGACTGAAGATGATGCTGTCGATGAAAATGTCGATGTATATGTTGAACTTCTTTTGCAACGTACGGAGCCAACCGTGCTAATCGGAGGTGCGGGAGAAGGACAAGACACAGGACACAAAAAGCAGTTCTAAAGAAATTAGTTTGCCAATCTAGATTTAAAATTGCATAGCTCCAGTGGCTTCCTGATATCGGAAGGAAGAGCGTTCCAGACGGTCAAAGATGCGCATCTGAAAGCGCGCTATGCGGTGACCGTCTTTGTTCGATGGCTCGCCAAAAGAAGTCGCCGCGAGGATGACCGGGTGAGTTCGCGTGATGGATTTATGTTCCTTGACGAAATCAGCGAGGTATTGTGGTTCATTTGTGGCAAGCACTTTGCGTTGTGCATAATGAGTGCGACCTTATGCTGACGATGCTGTTGTTAATTAAGATGACGATGGTGTTGGTGCTGGTGGTGTATTGCCTTGCTATGGGAATGCAGGAAGCGTGTGCGTCACCTGTGAGGGAGAGGCATCGTCAACTGTTCATCGTGAGGCTCACGCGATCACCCCCAGGGTCTGGGGGGCCCTCTGAGAGTCCGCGTTGGAAATTCCACGCCGGATTCCGCGTGACTCACACCGCCTGCTCACGACCCTTCATCCCACCCAGCAGTTGACAAAATAACGAGCGATAATGTACATTTCATTGCCTTTGAAACTGATTGGCATTACACCAAAAACAATGCGCATATTATAGGAAGTGTGGTCACCACATCTACGCCTCCTCTATATAAGGAACGAAACAGGTGGACTTCGCCACAAATCTGGCTGTCGCCTGATGAAGTTAGTTGTAATTACTGGCGAAACGTCGTACTCAGATTGTAAATATTGTGGCTTGGCTCTCCACACCGGTGTGCTGTACTAGTGACGAATTGGTATGTTCTGTTTACGTGACAACCCTTACTAGTTGGCTGTGTCGGGTGGTGGCGGGTTTTAACGACACATATTTACGCGATCTAACCCCAAAAAAACCCTCTTATGGATTATTATCAGAGCATGTTTGTTTGCATGTTTTTTTTCCCCCGCAAGTACGTGCGGTTAATGTATCTTTGGTGTTTGAACATCTTAACACCTGTTTTATTGCCAGAAAGGGTAAAACCCATTGTTATTTTTTTTACATACCGATTATTATTGCGAAACTGGCAAAACACATTCCCACAGATGGATGATAAGCGAACAGCGCGGATGACTCAAAAGTACGTTCGCGGCACGCTCACCAAGACGAACACCACCAACAACAACAACACTACCAACACCAACAACAACACCACCACCACCAAGCCTGCGCCTCGGCACTCGAATGCTGTTGCCTCTTGGGTTCTTCGCAAGCAATTCTCGCATCGCGCCAGCCTTCTGAAGAGGGCTCGCTGGCAACCATCGTTGCCCTCACAACAACACAGTTACCACCGGTCAACAGGAACACCGCCGGCATGCTAACGGGCGAAGGGAGAACAAAAACGACGCGGGTCGTCTCTATCTTGACGTGAAATTAATTGCATTTATAGTTCAACGTTTTATATTTTTCGCATAATATAAAGCGTTGGTTCATCAAGCTTATCGGCATGCCAGACCAATGTTATCCAGCAGCATCTGTTTAAGCAACAAACCCTGAACTGGATTCCATACATGTCAAGTCCTTTATCAGTGCCTACCCTATTACAGGTCCAATTCAGACCTTATTGGTCACCCCATGCCCTGATAAATCTCAACGTTCATCCTACAAAGTCCCATCACAAGGGAGAAGCACAAACAAATAGACAAAAAATGTGCCCTATTGAAACGGCTGTACGCCGTATGGACCTGAAAACTCATTGTCCCTGTACAAGAATACGGGGTAAACCGTATGGGTTGAAAAGCTATGGGATTCGACTTTGAGTCTTAACTGCAGCGTTGTGGTCCCGGTTTAACAAAACGCTGTTGGGTTGAATGTTGTCTGTAAGTGTATGTAAACATACTGAACAGGTATATTGGACTTCTTTCGCACCGTACGTAGGAAAACGTGCTAATCGGAGGTGCGGGTTTCATACATTGAGTATGTTTGTCGCGCTGCGCTATGAACTCCGCGACCCAAGTTCGATTCCCACTAACGGCCAACACCAGTGGCGATTATTTGAACCGATCCTGGGCCTCGGCTAGGTCGACTGAGCCTCAAATCAGTAACCGGTCCGATGTGTAAACATCGCCACTAGGGAGACAAAGGGGGCCGGGCGTGGTGTTGGCCACCAATCCCCTCGTGTG